AGCCACAGAACAAACAGTTTTAAAAAAAAACAGAAGCGCATGAGTGTGGTTACCAGGCGGAGATTAAAATAACGGCTCAGGGAGAAATATAGCCTCACATATTGGCACGTAAATGTGCGCACTCATACGGATATGGGTATTTCCACATACGGACACAAGCATGGATGTAAACGGACCGTGACACGCGTTTAGAGACAGATGCTCAAGCGCGTCCACGTGTGAATGCATAGGTAAACGGAAACTGACAAGACACCAAATGTAGATGTACACGCCCCCGCCCTTACATACGGTGGCGCAAACAGTGAAAAGCATTGAAATATGCAGTGATGTACTGAACTTAAAGAAATTCGTAGGCAAACATAAAAGCGAAGTGAGACAGAAACACAGACACAGAAAGGTACACGTACACGCGTATATACATAGAAAAAAACGAAAATAGTCAAAATATTCATTTAAAACCATTAATTACTTTTTTTTCAAAAAATTGCTGTCTGTAGGGAAGTACCCCTTTAGACAATGAAAATCAAATGGACTCATTCCGTAGCATCATTAAATACTGACAACGGGTCAGCAAATGTTCGATTTTGAATCTGTTAATGCTTACGTAAAACTTCTGTCTGCGCAGATCATTGCGATCGAGCCTCTATGACTTCACTTTTTTAATAATAGTAGATTCTTTTAAAAATGAAAAGTGTATAAATGCGGTATGTGTAATCAGGTGACTGACTAGTATCGACGTTTCGACCCGTCTTTCACAAGCCTTCTTTAGGGTGGCCCGGGGTAATTTTCCCAATTGGATCTGTAGTGTGCAGCTGTTGTGACGTTTGGAGCTAAAGATTCTGCTTGTGTAGTGTAAAAATGAATCGTTTTAATCCATTTTTCAATTTTCAGGGTGATCGCTGATGCATGAACAAAATACTCAGTCTTCCATCACATGTGTTCATCCATACAGTCGGCTAACGATATGACTTTTTATTACAGACAAATCTTGTACTTATTGGTCCAATGTTGATCATCAGATACGCGTGATGTTCGTTTCTCCATATTTTCTGACTCTGTCGATTCGAATTCATGTTTCTTTTTCTGTAGCCCATCTGCTGTCACTCAGCTCTGTTCAAAAGACTGATAACTTGTCCGAATTTTCATAACGCTTTCTGTTGGGGATAGTAAAAACAGTGACCGAAGCTTGCAGTCTGAATGACCTTTTAGACCAATTGCAAGGTCATAGAAAACTAGCTCGTTCTCTAATTAGTTTGCTGCATTAGCCAAACTTTTCAATTCTCTAGTTTGTTGATAACGAAACCACTTGCCCTTCATATTGATCTTTCATCTTATCTTCGTAAGTTGAATTTGTCGAAACAATTTTTTAAACGTGGTCTGTTTATATCTCTTAGGAATTATCTAAAAGTGAGCGAAACTTTCGAAGTGATTTGCAGCAAGATTTGAATACTGTGTATCTTCGTTTCCGCCGCTGCGAAGCACAAAGACACGAGGAGAACGTTTTCTGATGATCTGCTTGCCAGCGCGAAAGAAATATTTACTGCTGCTTATTTAGCTGCTATTTGAATTAGAAGACGTATGCGCCTGCAATCATCCGCGGTACGCTAATGATATAGGATCACAGGCCTCAAAGATGTGCTGTCATCTCAGTTCCATACTTTAAACCAAATTACTGCAAGGCAGTAGCCACTGGTCACAATGAAAATGACCATCAAAAATTAAATTCTCATAACCGGGCCATTGCTTGCAACGTATCTAACTGATAGCGCATATCGATATGAGCAAGATGTGTTAAGTGTGACGTTTTCGAAGAGCTAATGAACGTCCTTGACCCCGATCATCGATCCTTGTTGCATCAGCGTACCAACGAACGTTGTTCTTTTTTATAGCCACAAAGAAGATTCAGAGCATCTAAAGAACCAGAAGATTATAGACAGGAACGTACATGCCCTACAAGATAAGCCAGGTTGCAATATGGAAAAGACTGTCCTCGTAACTCCGCCTGAAATCACATATAACCGAATGTGACCGGATCATCCCTCAACAAAATTAAGGGGACTCGCTCTGACAGGTTTTCAGACAGAAGCGCCTACACCATGACTTCGTTAATCGTGTACAGCATGGATTTGTGAAAAGAAAAGGTACGTTCCATTCATCTCTTTCATCCCGTCGTGATTTGTCACTTTCACATAATCGAATGTCACGAGTTTCATGGACAGTTAATTGGAACATTGGCACCGATGTGGCGACGATCGCCGTGCCGTGCTGCGTGACCTTTCCTTTCGGGGGTCGTCACTTTCAAAAGTCGTCATTACACATAACTGGTGATGGTGTCATTGTGTAGATGTCTTGACAAATTGACAAGACGTCGCCAGGTGAATCGCTTCCAGATAGTCGATACAGAGTCGTTATTATGCGAGTCTCTTCAGGGCATTCCTGCACTTCACCCACCTCTTCATTCATTCAGTCATATAACAAGAAATGTGGTGACCAAAAATGGAAGGCACTTTCGCGCTCTGTGAAAACGTTCGTAAGGGTGACGATGAGCAGTTCACTTCTGATCGCTTCCTCATCAAAGAGGAATAGTAGTGCGACGGTCATAAAATGAATCATTATCATGTAATCGTAGGAACGTACGCTACGCCATCCGTTGACACAGCGTCTAACAGCTCGCTCTGCCCTCTTTTGTTCACAAACTCTCTCGCTCATTACTGACGGATGACAGCGAATGACACTCGAGGAGCCATGATCAAAAATTGCTGTTAAACAAATCAAGCGTCATCAACGAGTTTTACTCCTAGTGGGGGTAGCGGTGGATAATACCATATGCGGAAAAAGTCTTGTGATTGTGGCTGATATCCCGGATACTAATTTGTACCATTTCCATCAACTCGGCAGTCAAATAATGCCATTTCGAATAATCAAAACAGTGCTGCTTTATCAGTTGAATAGGCTGTTAATAAGAACAGACTCTTCTCTGCTATTCTGTGTAGCATCACGTCATAGTTATGTTAAGAATAACTATAATTATCAGCAATTGTAATCTTAATTACACATTAAGAAATTATTCAATTGATGTACTGCGTCTTAGATGACTCTAAGAGTGATGAAATGCACAAACTTAACTTTTAATTTTCGACCTCTGACTGTACAAGTCACCGTCGGAAATGTGTCGTCAGAAAAAAATAAACTTTTAACTTTGCAGTTTCAACTATGTGTCAATTTTCAGTCAGCTATCAAATGAGTACAACGACATGGCCTATGTCTCGCGTGCTCTACCATGTCTACTCCAGAACACCATGTTCCTTGTATTTTTTCACAGGGCAGCGACTTACTACCTATTTCTCAACTGCTTTCACCAAAGTATAGTAAGATGAATTCTTTCCTTAATGGAATTGACTATTAACAAAAGAATTTTCCCCCGCGTTGAGTTTCGAATCCTGCATTTTTAGGGCGCAAGGCAAACATTTTACCCATTACGCTACTGTCCCCCCTGGTGAAGAAGATTTCAAGTTTACTGTTCGACGATCACTAAAGCGGCTTGCTTTTCAGGATAAATAAACACTTCGCTTTGCGGATTGCGATCAGGTTACTCACTGGATGATGACAGTTCCTTAGTCCCACTAAGACGGTGACTTCACGATAAAATTTCGCATAAATAAATTAGGCAATTCCGACTGAAACGCGTTGATATATGGAGAAGGTACAAAGGAATGAGTAATCAAAATATAAATGGGGCTGACATCCCAGTGGTTGCAAACCTTAACATTCTGCGTTTCCAATGCAGAACTTTTCGAAAATTGCGAGTCTAAGCGGCATATGATATCTAAACCTCATTTCAGTTGTGTCTACTACTTCAGTGAATTGCGCCACTAAAGTGGTTCTAAATGCAGAGAAACGATCAGAGATAGTCTGTATTATAACTGACGTTTCAAAAATTCACAGTGGCCATTGTCAGGGCAAAACCTGAATGTTTTTTGTAACAGACTAAAAAGCGTAACCATCACTGTGGCATTTTCTTAATGTGAAGTAAATGCGCTTAGCTTTTTCTTCGTGCATATGATTGTCACTTAGATTATTTATAAACACCACAGTGATCACTACGATTACTTTACACAGTGGAAAGGACAGAAAGAGACGTTTTTATTCGTATGCTGGTCGGTCGGTCGGTCGGTCTATGGGAAGAACGCTGACAATGAACACGGACAGAAGGCATGAGTCCCTACTCAACGTTCCGGTTAATCGCTGAACATAGTACAATGAAAACTGTTGTACACCATGCTATCTATTCAACGGAGAATGGCGACTCTTGGCGAGATTGAACCGAAATGAGCAGAGGGAAGGTACATGGAGGATATGCCTTTTTCGCTTTACTTCCTGATATCATTTCTCTGGCAGCCTCCGGATCTCTCTTCCTTCCACTCATGAGTTGTGATCTACTTTGAGTGTGAAACCTTTGTATTCAAAAAAATCGCATTCTTCCTAACAACCGCTATGCTGTTAGTGAGTATCAAAAATAAGTTAAGATTTTATGGCATAAGCCTTTCATGTCGAACATAAGTCATTGGATATCGTTAGGGTGACCTCTAATTGAAACATCGAACCAAGTTTTATTGTACTCTGTTTTTCACATTCTTGACTGTATAAACTGTTACCACATAAACATTATTATGATTTAGCATTACGAATTGGATTAAAAAAGATTCTGTGCCGATGTTCGAGATGTAGATATTCACAGATGGCTTCAAAGTTGTTACGTTTTTCAGAAATGCTGGTACGAAAGCGAACGTGGCAAAAAGAAATCGAGACGAGTGTGGCGGAGTCACCGTTGACGCACGGCCTTCGTTCATCGAGAACACCACGGATAGCCTGTCGGTACGACGACGATGACATCAGCGATGCATTCTTAGATGTTATCGAAGGTCAGGGGCAAAGGTAAACGACCTGAACGGTGGTGGCAGCGCCGCCCGCTGCGATCACTTCTGCCTGCATCACTTTCACCCGCTGACGACGACGACCTTCTTTAATCAGCTCGTAATTAAGAAGGCCACTGTTTGAAGTTTGAGCGAGGTGTGTAAAGAGCAAAAGCGAGGAGCAGTGGCGAGTGCAGCAGTGGCAGCAGTGCAGCCGTCAGAGAAAGCCAAGAGTGCCGAAGAGTCCAGTTGGACTCTTTCCAAACGTGGACAACTTCTTCCCATCCCTGCGTTGGTCATCGGACTATGCTCTTCCCAGACACTCGTCCAACGATGAGGATGTTGATCGGTGGTTGCATTATGTTCCTGATCGCGTCGATCGTCGGTAAGTGAACTCAGTCCCAACGATGAGCCGTTATGAAAGCATTTTTCACTTCAGCTCTTGAGGGCAACCCGTGCGAGCGACAGCCGTTCAAGGCGTACTGCCCCGCGGACAGCAGTGGCAAAACATCCCGGTCCACGTTCGTGCTCCGCTACTACAAGAAAGGCAGCCAGTGCGTGTCTTATCCGTACGGCTACTGCAAACACGGAGAGACCATACAGCTCTTCCGCTACAAGAACGACTGCGAGAAGCACTGTCCCAACCAAAGTAGGTCTCTGGTCTGGTGGGCGCTGCCCACTGACTAGTCGCACAAGCAGCTTCATCGCCTCTTTTGTAGTTGAAACCACGGCTAGCGAGTCGTTGACTACTGAAAACACGTCTTCCAAGCCGACCATCTCTCAGAACAACAATTCCAGAAAGACACCGATGAAAGCTACGATAATTGGCAAAAAAACACTTACAAGTATGTATCAAAGTTGTTCCATTAATCTTTCTTCGTAGCATCGCATAGCCTGGTCTCAAGCCGTGAATACGTCGAAACCAATCGTTCATCGTGCTTGAACTAATTCCTGAAGTCAGTATTTAAAATTTAGCGTAAGCTGACAAAGAAGGGTGGAAGAATTCCGCTGGGTCCGTGCATCATTCTGTCTACTCTAAATATTGTCTTGAACATTCAGTTGGTTATTAGAACGATAAATGCAAAATTCATGCAAAAACGTTTTGCCTCATCTACTTGCATATTAATGAATGAAAAATGTATATCAATAATTGGTCATTGCTGAATGTCAGTTTAACATGCCCAAAGCATTGTCTGAACTAAATTCAGTCAGATGAGGAATGGCTAATGATTCAATTGTGACCGCTTTTCCATCCCATCTTTACGCCAGCACCGCATGGTTTCAAGTTCTTACTCTTTGGGCCAACTCCTTTGTTCATTTATATTTATTCGTCTGTTTCCTTGCTTCATTTATCTCCATCGTTCATATGCAACTTAATTTCGGTGACGAAGTCGTTTGTTGATGCCCCATCCGTACGTGAATTGGTATGAGTCTGCCTCCAAAAGAAAATATGACCACTGAGGTTAAATTGGCCGTTGCCAAAGAACCAGCATCGGTTCAAACGTCTGTAAAAATCAGAACCAGAAATTGATCACGCATCATCGTTAAAGGAAAATAAAGGGAAAGTAAATCATTCTTGTGGTACCGGTAGTTGTGTACAAATTTATTTGGCGCAACTTGCCTTCTTTCTCATGTAGTGCTCTAGCAATCTTATTCAATTCACTTTTGCTTATTCACGATGTTTACTATGTTTCCAGCTTACTGCCGAGTTAGCACCGATCCCTGCATGAAACATTCCTGAGCGCAAGCAATGCCATAGTCATGTGACGCTCAGTGTAATGTTTTGCTGTCTTGAACGACGGTTCAGGAAATCCTAGAAGTTTAGTTTCGCTAGAATTTGCATACTTCCAGTTTCCGTCAAAAGTGCATCGCGCAAACATTGAAAATGAAGGCACTGAGTCGTCATACTTTAAATTCACTATTTGATTTTACTCAAACATTTTGTCTCTCTCACATGATCGACCCACTGTTGTAAGGCAGTTTCGCTTTCGTTTCCTCTTCAATTTCAGCTAAATTAACCTATGAGGTCAGCGTTTAGAAATGTAGGTGTTCACCTGAACGAACAGAACATTACTTTTATTCCAAAGGCACCCCACCCAATAAAATTTTCTGTACTGCTTTCACTTGAATGCACACTGCAGACCATTTTCCTGAGGGTTACGAGAAGAAAAGGGAGCAATGTAAGGAATCTGAGCAAACGAGAATCCGCTCTCATGATATTCTTTATCCTGCAGACCTGTTGATTTAAATAATGGTTACTGACATTTAAACAGCCCCTTTAATTCTGTAATATTTATTAACTATCCAATTCTGGATTGCAGTCAAATAAAGTTGACAAGTAATAACTATCGCGAGGTAGCACTTTTCGACGAAGAAATTCAGACAGTAACAAAGACACATGAATCAATCAACGTAGCACAGCAATGATAGAACAAAATCGGTTTGTAGCAGAGCAAGAGCTGAGAAGTAGTTCGAATAATCGTTTTTTCGCTGTTAATGATTTTATTGGTCATAAGTGCGGGATACGTTGACCGAAAGAACATGGTCAAGATTACATGGTTAGAAATGAGCTGGAAGAGCCTCGCAGCGCGACACATCAGAAGACCTTTGTTTATGAGCCACTCTTTTTACAGACCGTGAGAAACAATGGTTCTGTCATCGAAATGGAAGAAAAGTGACTGACAGGGAGGACTTCTTCCGCTAAACCCAGTGATAAACAGCGAAGCGAGCGATCGAAAGCTAGACAACTCGATCAAATTAAGTGCATGACATTGACAACCACACCACCTTTTGGAACCTAGTCCATGGATCTGATAGTGGAAAAAAAGCTCTTATGAATAAGACAAATGACTTTACACTTAAAAAATAGTTTATGACAGAGATTGTTGTCTTCAGGAAGATAATGCACATATTCATTCATCCGCAAATTTAGTCAATAACCTCTTTTTTCTTTTTTTCTTTTAAAATTTTATAATTTTATTTCTTTTAAAATCTTCACAAAAAT